ACTTTTTCAAAGCTTCCGTGCAGCGTGCCTCACGAAGAACGTCACACAGTTTTTCGGTAGTAGCTTCCTCACCGAAACGTTTTTTCCACTTCAGCAGACCTTGGAAAAAACTCTCCTCCACCCCATATTCCTTATGATTCACGCAAATATTTTCGATTTCTGGTTCCCTGAGACCCAGTTTTCGCAGGACATTCTTCCATTTAGCACCGATTTCCTCGCGTATGCAGTGGAAATGGTCTTCTGTTACTGGTTGTCTGTCACTGCCCAGCGAGGATATATCGTAGCTGAAAGATTCTGTTTGATTGGCCGAGGAATCTGCCAAAAAATAGAAATTATTTTTCAGACAATATCATCGCTTTTACCTTAATCTTTTCCGTAAATGCGCTGACAAGCTTTCTCCATTTATTCATCCAAGTCGCGTCAATCCTACCACGGGACTGTATTCCTCTCAATTGAGCTCCAATATTCTAAAGTAATTTTCACTTCAGCATGGAAGGTAATCTGTAGTTGCTTTTGTTTTGCTGCATTTCGTCCTGTGATTGTTCAAGAAAATTCGCGCCTCTCTCTCAACCAATTAGATGCAAGACTTGAATCGATTGCGACGTGTTCGCTCCTGTTTTCCCGCGCTTTAGGCAGTTTGTTGGTTTTTAATTTGAATTCTCATTGACTCCTTGTGATATTGACCCGAGAACTGACTGCTGGTAAATAATACTTTGGTTTTGGTTTTCCGATACAAGCATTAGAATTCGCTCTCACTGTTTTAGTTAGGTTCTTGTTACCAATGTAATCCCGCATTACTTTTGACACTCAATTAAAAATTGCGCTATTATGATAACCAATCGATGTCACCAACCCATTGAAGTTATCGTTTCTTGGCTTCCATTGATTTCGTTTTCCTCTGGTGGCATCGTGATAGAAACTGCGCCCGCAACCTTACGACCGTTGGAAAAAGTGCCACTCTCAGAATTTTGGACAAAAATATTTCGACCAGTCTGCGGATTGAATAACAAACAAAATTTAAAAAAAAACAGCCTCGAAGACATATTGACGCTACGTACACGACCCCGGTTTAATTACTGTAGGTTTGCTTCACGAATATTCAACAATATTCACTTATCCTATGGGAGAAAATTTGTTAAGTATAATTGTTCAGGTGACTATCAGGGTTTAAACGTAGATTTTATTCTATTTCTTCACCTCCAGTTTGTCACGCATTAAAAACTAAGGCACAGAGTTTGGTGCTTAGAACCCGTGGTTAAAACGGTATAGTGCACATGACAGTAGCAAAACTGAACGAAACGAGATATTAATTTGTAACGGTCGTGTCAACGTTCGTTTGCTAGAAAGTGTTAAACAGGCTTAATATGTCTCACAATAAGCCAATTACGACCAGTTAAATCCGAAAAGTTTAGCGTTATTTCGATAACCTTCTGGCGCGGGGTGACTACAGAGAGATATAACGCACTCCTTAGCAATTATACTGACATACCATAGGGATGCGACTGTTTTGCGATTCATCACATGTGGGCCTCGACTGATAGTTTAACGAATGGAGAACGAATTTTGTTTGACTGTGGTAGCAATGATATACAAACACAGGAAAAGTAAAATGGTTTACGACTGGGCAACTAATTTTACACGACTTGGGCACAAATTAACGTAATTACAGGCGTACGAATGCTCAATTACTGCCACACGAAAGTTTTATGACTTCTGTAAGATAGTTTACTTCACCTGTCGCGGTGAATACCCCGGGTAAAGATAAATTGAATACTCTGTTGGGCTGTCTTCTTGATTAAATTTAAGGTTGCAGGAAAATTCTTTCACTCCTGGACGTGCCGGTCTAACTGCAAAATCACAGGCATCTTTGGCACGGAATCCATTGCGATACGCAGTGTCGTAGTTGTATTTCTACAAAGAAAGGTTAAAACGTATTACCTTGCATGGAAACTACTCAATTTATGGAAAAAGAAATGAACCATCGAAGTGTTTCTTTGATATCATAAATTCTTTCTCACTCTCTAAGACCTTGGTCAACTCCGCACATAACTTTATAACTGAGGTCATGGGAAAACATTCCGAAGCAATTTTTGGTAAGAATGAGTTGTCATGATACGAAACATGACACGCTAAAGAAGCATTAGGCATTTGTTGGGGGGGTAGAGGGGGGGAAAGGGAAAACGAATTTAAAGAAAATCCAAGATGACGTCATGCAATAATTTGCAGTGTCCAGCGGTCATACCACAAGATCTATTGGAATTGCATGTTAAATCTGCTCAATACCTGTAGACTGGGAGTCTTATCCAGTTCCCAACCGTCTTCAAGATCAGTGAGCTTCACGATCACATCCTTTTCGTTGTCGTACATCTTAAACGGTTTCTCCTTTGATGATCTCGAGCCAGGAAAAGACTCTTTCTCCTGCGCTTTCACTCGCTTGGTAAATAAAGATGTAAATCAAAGCATAAAGAGCGTCACTTAAGATGCTGTAAAATAAATCTCAACACAAATCTCAATCCAAATAAAACAGTGCAACAAGTATTACAAAGTCGACCCGACCCAGACCTCCCTCCTTAACGTGACTTGACCCAAGCCTCCCTCGTTTTTTTCACTCCTCCGCTATTATCGTACCGTTTACAGCTACCATTTACCATTTCTCTCAGGTTTACTAACTGAACGCCTGGAACAGGCTAGCAACAAACAATAGTCTGAAAACACCCAGGCTCAAAAAATATGGTAGATGTACGCCCCAGGTATTGAGTTTTTAAAGGAATTACTCATTGCATAATAAGTAATTACTTAGTAACGCAGCTGGAGAGGGGGCTGGTCCGCACTCCTGTACTTCTTCCCTAAATCCGTCCTCTGAGCTTATTTGAGCTCATTATGCTATACTTGACCATTTTAGCTGACTACTCGTTTTGCGACTTACCTTCTTTGAATCCTCATTATCACTGTAAATGTAGAAGCGCAGGTAAATGTGATCACTTCTCGGGTTATGTCTGCTGAAGTAAACAGTCGCTCTCTTCCTCTTTGTTCCGCCACAGGCGAACACGCTCCAAATGGAAAATTTTTTAGTCTTGATGAGGATGGAGTTCTTTTTCACTGTAAACCATGCTTTGGATTGGCAGTTTTTTTCTGATGCTGAGGGAATTTTCTCCCATTGTGGCGGCCCTTTAACATAATTAATTTGACAGCGTCTTTAGGTACCAGTTATCAACTATCGTCGTGGAGGTGGAGGGGGGGAACGACAGGGGATACGGAGGAATTTTGTGGGAATCACATGGTTTTGAGAGGGAACGGAGAGGGAATTATTCGTCGCCAAAAGAGTATAAAGGGTGACTGACTGCCGATTAACTGCCAGTGAGAAGGGGGGGGATAATACGAACATTACAGGGGCCTATGGGAGAATTAGGTAATTTGTATTTTGACACAACCAAAATTCCACCGGCCCAAAGCCCCCACCCAAGCCAGATGATAAATAAGGACTCGTCCCTTAGTAATTGGATGTTCCGGAATTAAAAAATGACGGTGTAGCTACCATAAATGCGAGAACATACATTTGTGTATACTTACAACCACGGAAAAATGCCTTCCTAAACAATACTTAGGATCGTTGTAAGCCCTGGTCTAGTAAGTTTAAACAGCCACTGGTTGTGTAAAATTTATCTTAAAACCGGCTCATTTTATTATTTTAAACCTTACCAAAACATCTCCAAAGTTGAAATTAAGAGAGTGTTTCGGTACCTAAGCTCGAATAAACTGTTTACATTCTTGGGGTGATGAGATTGTGCGACCAATCAAGTCGGCCGTCTTGGCCATATTGTTTGGTCAGTCCAGCCCAAATTCAGCGCTCTAATTGATTCCGGGCTTCATAACCCTCCTGTACCACTCCCATCTGTGCGCGAAAGCAATTGTTTTTAAAGTGCTTTTGCATAGCGATTTACAGTTACCTTTAGAAGATGGCTCCCATCTGTAAACCCTTATCAAATCCTTCCTGACCTCGTCCAAGCACAGATCGTGTGGAACACTGATTTCCACCGGCTTGAGCAAGGTAACGCCGTGAGGTCCACATTCGATAACGGGGGAAATTAGCGTTCCTTCGGGCACATCCGGGATATCCTGCAACAATGTGGAGTCATCCTTGAGCACGCGGAAGAAAAAACGCCGCTTGATACCCTCTTGAACTGCTCCACTCCCTACAGTGATAACGACATCAGAGTCCGGTGCGATAAGTTGTCCACCAGAGCTGTCGAACGTGGCCTCTGCTTCTGTTATGTATCCAGGTGACCTATAGGAAACGAGGTCGATTATCATCGAAAATGTGGTGGAAACTGTGATTTGGAGGTCCCCTTATGGGGAGAACATGTGTTTAAATCGACCTCAGTAACAAAAAAACCTAGGTAAAGAAACAAAATTTAAAAAATTTGAGCTTACACAACTCGTTTCCCCACCTACCTTGAGTCAGTTCCATCAGATTGAGAGATATGATGAACATCTGCGACCACAAGATTATTTTGAAGGGGAAGCAAAGTGTGCTGATAGAAATTGGATAGAAATTCAGCGATTACCTTTAATTCCGCATTCAACATAACTTCTGAGCAAGCTCTCAGAAACTGGACACTTAACACAACCAGTGTCTCTCGTCTTTCCACAAGGCCTGAACACACCGAAGCCTGGAGGACATTTGCTGCATTTTACACAAATAGTATTCGACGTTGAATTACAGGTTTGAAACTCGTATTCATTGTAACCACATCTGGTGCAGCGCTTGCATGTTCCTCGGCGAGAAGGCCTATCGTTGTATGTTCCTTCAGCGCACTTAACACATCGTGACTCTTCATTAGGAGAGCAGACTGTAAAAGATCCTGCAGGGCATTCCTTGCAGGATAGACTGGACAACTTGGGAGAACTACCGCTAAGCGACTGTGAGAATACAGGAGGGGTACAACAACAAAGAAATCAGTTTTATCGGATTAAACTTTGTTTTCCCGAAAAAAAACAAAACAAAACAAAAAAAAGCTCTAAATGGGGGAGGGGAGGGAAGGGGGAGAGGAAGGGGAGGGAAGGGGGAGAGGGAGGGGAGGGCTCCTTTGTGTTCCTCTCTTTTCTACGCTTCAATGTTTACACCTGCTAAGCTGGCTTTTAAGATCAAGAAAGAAAATATTAGTTTTGAATTCAGTTGGTAGCTTGGATTGTGTTATCAATTCTTATTCATTGAAAAAGTAATTTTACAACTTCAAACAATACCACTCAGGGGGTACGATCCTAAGCAAATTGTTATACTAAATAATAACAGCTTTGCGGTGAGATAAAAACAGTTTAATTATGAGAAATTTTATTTTAAGCCTACGCAAATAACATTCTGTACCAGCGGTCTCAAGTATCATCTACTCAAAACAACATTACACGTGATCGGCAACAACATTGTGATCTTTGCCCCTCCGTTTTCATCTGGTATAAAATAATTCGCTTTCAATTTGTCTTCTAGCTTTGATCGTATGTTTGGTTGATAACTGTTTCGTATCAAGAAAAGCGGATCAGCTGAAAGTTGAGCAGGCTTTGTTTAACGATTAACAATGACCGTATATGGCTACTTTGGAAAAATGGCAGAAACAGCTTTAAAATACACGCGGGATTTTTCAAAATTTCCGATTATCATACGAGCATACCACAGGTATCCCAGTAAAAAACTGAATAATCTCCTCCCACATTTTTTTTGTGTTTACACAAACCGACATCTAATTGATTCCTATTCATCCTTTTGTGTGATAGCAGGAGGTGAGATTTTTTTCGCATAGTCATGTTCTGCTAGTTTCTTTTTTTTTTTTGCTCAACAGGTTACGTGTATTCAATCACATCACTGACGCTGTCAGATTCATCTACCAAATTTTAGGCCAAACGAATTTCGCGCTACGAAAGTTATCCCATTTTCTTAGTTTGCATAAAGCGCTACGCAATCGCCTCCCATAATTTGCTTACCGTAGCGTAAATGCATAAGCCCAGCAAAAACTTAACACGCGAAAAAAATCACACCCCTTGATTCGTTAAATGCCGCCTCGCTTGATTGAGAACAAACATAAAGTCCAAACGTCCGTCAGTTTATCTTGCGATTACTACAGCAATCATGCTTCCGACTTCATAGAATATACACGTTTGATTAAAGATGGCGAAGATCTTTTGTGGTAATCGTCACTAAAATCGTTATGCTGATTAGAAATACAGGAAGTTGTTGTTGAACAACGACCCTTCCACTTTCAGTTTCGACTTTTAAAGAGAACAAAGTGCCTATTCATCTATCGGAATGAAAATTTGATTCTTGTGGTCAAATGCAAAAATCCAAAACGCCTCTGAAAATGTAGTAAGCAAGGAATCAACTGTCTAAGTATTGGACACAGCAATCAGTTATATCTTGCGTAAACGGTTTACACCGACACTAAATATGTGCTTATCGCGTGACCTAGTTGTAGTTTTTCTCAATCGCGTGTCTCCCCTGAAACGGTAATTTTTCTCATCGATTTCATTAAACGCTGTGGTCATTTTCACACGTGCCAAACCGGCAAAATCTAGATCCTATTGACGTGACAGCGAAGACATCCTCTCAAACATCCTCTCAAACATTCAGCTTGTCGGAAGCAATCGATTGGAATAGGATGATTTACTCCTGCAACGCATGTAAATTAGTTCTGTGATTTCACTACTGAGTAAAAAAATTACTTGAAGTTTGCTTGTAGTCGAATCAGTTTCGTAATCAAAACGAAATAACTGGAGCTTGTGGAAAATTATGTTTACAATAACAAATCAGATATTGATAACAGTTATAGCGATTCTGCTGTTGAAAGCGCTCGTTAAAAGAATAAATTATGCAGATCATGACAAGACTAGTGTTACAAACAGTCTTAATATACACATTAAACAACAGTTACAATATATAAATATTCGGGATTACTTACACTGCCTGTGTTGATTCCTACAAATATGAAAGCGACAAAAACAATCTCGTACACCATTGTAGAAACTGCACGACGAGCAATGTGTCTTACTGAATCAGCGAACTTGGTTACTTTTATCTCTTTGCCTGTCGGCTGCGCGATCAAATACGTTCTGACGAGAGTGCAATAGAAATTCGACTCTCTCGTCAGTTTGCGTTTTGATTATTTGGGTAGATATAGAGCAAATGCGTAAACATTTCCGTGTTGTGTAAGTACCCTTTGTTTTTGATTAAACAAATTCTTCTCAAATTCTATGCCAACATATTCGGGTTTTTCCCTAAATGTATTTATTATTTTCCTACAACGGTTGGTGGTAATCGGGGGGGGGGACGTTAAATGGGAGAGGAGGAAAGCTTGATCTCTTTTGATCGACGATGAGCAACCAATGATCAACGATGAGATGAGGATGAGGAAAATTCTAACAGATCAGTTTCGGAGTAGGAAAGACAGTTCACCATTCATTTTCAAGGGGGGAAGGGGAAAGGAAAGGGGTTGACCTGTTGAACTACTCATGCACAAGAATAATAGAAGAAGAAAGTCAAGCTGATCAAAACGCAAAAGAAATATATTTTTAACGAAGGAGCAAAGAAATAAATGTGAAAATGAATATTGCGCCCGGAAAATTGCCCATGCCTCCTCTCCCCTATTTTCTAAACGGGACATGAAAACGAAATAATGGGATGACAATAATTGATGGGAGGAAGATTAATAAAAGCATTTTACTTTTTTTATGGAGTGGTATCTTGGTTTATCTCTAGTTCCAACCACTTTTCAGTGGACTAATTTTTGCGAAGTATGCGAAAACTAATCGTTTCATCCTCGTAAAATTTAAAGAGTTATCAGCTGAATTTAGCTGGTTGGTGATTGCTCTCTCCGGCCTGTAGAAGTCTTTCCCAACTAACACACCATGTGATGCACGTAACGCCTTAGTTATACAAGTCCTCTTCGCAGTCGTTATTCGTTAAGCAAAGAAAAGTACCACCTTTATCAGTCCAAAGGGGTGAGAGCGCATTTGTGACCAGACCGAATGTGATGACGGCTGCGAAGGAAACCACAGAAAGCGCTGAAATATAAACTGAAGAGAGTCTTTTTTGGAAGGGGATCTAAAAAATCTCCATAGATAGAAAGAAGCCTGGTACCAAAGGTATAGCAATGAAGCATAGTAAAAAAAAAATTAAAATATAAGCAGAAAGCGGAAGTGGTAAATATTGGCATACAAGTAGGTGTGTTGAACGCTAACTAACCGCATTACTTTCCTCATCTGTTGTAATAATTATCATTTTTTCCCTTAGTTTTTCGGGTTGGATTCTGTCTCTTGAAGCGTCTGAAGTCTGTTTTAAGATCGCTTCAATGTAAGTATCGAGCATCCGCCAGACAAACTAAAGGCACCGGAAATAATATCTGACCTGAAAAAATTTATATTTGAGCTGTGCGTCGAAGACCCTCGATCATAATTGCCCAGGAGGGGGTACTACGGGATTATTTATACTCCATACATCTAATCCATACGCTACCCCGCTCCCCCCCCTCCCCCACACAACTCCAGGAGAAATGGCGGCTGGCCAGAAGAAGCTTCCTGCTGTGCGCTACTTTCATACTTCTCAAAAATTTCCGAGTCCATAATTTATCATTATTCCGAAAAACATGGGTCAACGTCGGAAAAAGTTACTGCACGCAAACGAAGTAAAATAATGCTGACTGAGAGCAGTTTTCTCTCGCATTTCATTCGCGACAGCTTATCCTTTGTTCTGTGTACTTCCTGACTGATCCAAACATTACAAAGACACCATCAAAGTTATTTTGGGACCGGTTGAGTAACTTTCGTGTCGGGAACGCTGAATGTGCAACACCATGTCTGCCATCAACCATTCTTCAGTCAAGATAGACTTCTTTCGTTTGCTTACACTTGTTTTAAGTGTTCTCTTTGTTGGTAAGGTTTTACCTTTCTTGATTTAGAGTAGATACTTTATTTAGGTTATTTTGTACCAGATAATATAGCATGATGTATTTTTGTACAGATTAATTTTTTCCTATAGCATTTGCCTGAGGCTGACATGCATGTACAGTCTGTATCTCTGCATTATCTCTGTTCTTTAAAATTTGTATTACATTTAATACCACATATATGTTCAAATTTCTTGCTTAACCTATCAGTTGCCCGATAAATTTGTTATAATAATATAAGACAGTAATTGTATGTATTTTAATTATGAGTCAGGCAGATTCCATGTTCCCTGCTTCTGCTCAGGAATTGGAATAATGGGAAAGGTAATTTAGCAGTTGACATTCCCCAAGTTAGCTCTTTGTGTCCATTGTTTCCAGGTCCAATTGTGTAACCGTAGCCTCAAAGTTTATATCGCCTATATCTTCAATTTTCAAATTCTTCTGTCTCAATTAAAATTTTCAATTATCACTATTTGGGCATCATTTTTATTATTTTTGTAATTTATTTTATGCAGGGCCCCACTGGAAAAAAATATTTGTGACGTGGGCTCCTGTTGAAATATTTTTATTACCATGTTTTTTATTACCACGCTATTGTTAATTTTTTTTTTAATAGGAAAACGTGTCCTACACTGTTCTAATGACCAAGCTATATTATTTACATCTGGCATCAGTTTCAGTTCTGTTTCTATCAAAACATACAGTTTTTTAGTTAGTATGGGTAATCGCATGGGGCTGAGTAAAATGAAGAATTAACATCACGCGTGTTTTCAGAAGTTACAGAATTGCGGGGGCAAAGGCAATTTATTGTTAAAGGAATAATTTTTTTCCTTAACATTCCTTTTTTTTTAACTTTAACTTATAAATAAAAACTTCTAGGAGGACCAGCTAAGGCACAATCAATTTCATAAGACCATACAACAGTATTTATAGGTGACAGTATTACCAGGTGTTAGAGGATTGAGCAAAAATCGAGATAATGAGATAATCATGACAATAAAAAATTAGTACCGAATTTATCATAAAAATAAGTGAACAATTTCTTGCGTGTTAGACTCTCTTATGTTGAGAGGTACAACAGTAGACTACGTTCATTCCATGAGCAAAAAACCGAAATAAAAAATTAATTCTTGAAAGTTCCTGTTCAACTAAAAGGGACATTTTCTTGCCTACAAAGTAACTTCCTTCAATTTATTTACCATTTACAGAAACGACTTTCCTCCTTAAATTTCTTACCGTCATACTTCA